TTTTTTTATTAAAGCATAGCTGTGTACATTAATGCAATCATGGGGTACAATGTGCTGGTTTTATATACAATTTGGAATATTTTCATCAAACTGGTTAACATATCCTTCATGGCATTTTCTTAGTTATTGTGTTAAGACATTTATGTTCTACATTTGGTAAGTTTCACATGTACCCTTGTAAGATGAACCTTAGGTATGGTCCCACCAATTTCCCTCCCTCCACCCATCCTCCTCCCTCTCGTCCCCTCCCTTTCCCCTTTCCCCATATTCTTGGGCTATAATTGGGCTATAGCTTTCATATGGGTACAGTTAATTTTTTGAGTTAGCATTTACCTATTTTAGAGAGATTAATTATAATGGGTAATTATTAAGAGTTTCAATAAAATAGCACATAGATATTTAGACATGAAATTCCATTTTTGTTTCCTTCTTTCTCTCTACTGTCTTATTATGAGTTTTTATGACTTTTGGTTGAATTGGACAGAGCAAATAGTTCTCTAGGGCCAGAGCATCTGATCCATGGGCTTCTTCTGAATCATCACCATGTTTTTGCACTTGGTCACTGTCCTCTTGAGGTTTCTGTAATTAGCTTCATGTCTTCCTATGGCAGGATGTTATATGGCACTTGGTGTTAGAGAACACAGGAAAATCTCAGAGTCCCTGAAGATTTTAGTCTTCTTATACAGGTAAAAATGGAAGGATGAAAATAAATTTAACAATGGGAAGAGCAGCTTTAGTCCCAGGCATGGTTTTCTTGTTGGAATTTCAGTGAACATGAGTCTTATTCTAAGGTACATGACTGTCATGCTAAAGTGAAGTAGATAGTGTTCAGAATAAGGAATTGAATAGCACAGGAGAATAATTGTAAAAACATTTATTACCATGTTAGAAGAGGTTAACTGACCTGGACTTCATGATGGAATTATATTGTGGCTAGGGAAATGTGAAAGATATTAGGAGGAGTCAAATGGCTTCATCATGTTTTGGATTCAGTATAGGTTATGATTAATCACTCTGTTCTCAGTGGTGATTATATGAATGACTCTCATCTCTGCCACTTGGTAAAAAGGCAAGAAAATTGATGACACCTGAAAACAAAAAAGTAAAGGTTATTATATTTTTATCTAAATTTGCTTTTTCAAAGAGATGGGTATAAACTGATCATCTTCTGTAACAAAGTAAGCAAATTTATTATGAACTTATCAAGTCTGCCAGGTGGGAAACAGTCTTGTAGACACCTAAATAGAAATGAAAGACATGGTGACCAAAAGACCTAAAGCCAAATATGTAACTCCAAAGAGTATTTTAAAAAAATGCTATGTAGCTGGATAAGGTGGCTCACACCTGTGATCCTAGCACCCTGGAAGGAGGAGGTGGGTTGAGCTCACAAGTTTGATATCAGTCTGAATAAGAGTGAAACCCTATCTCTATTAAAAATAGGAAAATTAGCCAGAGGCCCTGTCATGTAGCTGTAGTCCCAGATACTGCAGAGGCTGAAGCAAGAGAATCAATTGCTTGAGCTCAGGAGTTTGAATTTACTGAGAGCTAGGCTGATGCCCCAGCATTCTAGCCTGGGCAACAAAACGAGAGACTCTGTCTCAAAAAAGCAAAAAAATGTATGTAGAAAATTTGAAAACAAAATAATACATAAAATGGCCAGAGCTTAGATTTCGTTTTCTTGGTCTAGTCTATGGTTTGTATTAATTTCATTTCTGAATTATAAGTAGAATGAAGATAGGTTTAGAGAATACTGACAAAAATCATTTTAGGGATGGCAAGTGAGAAAAAATTCTAAGAGTAAATGTAAAAGGTATTGAGTTTATTGAGTCTTGTGAACGGGAGCAAAGGATCAACTCAGGTTGTTGGATTTGTGTATATAAAAGTTTATTTGATTATATATATGAATATAAAACTTTAATTATTTTATCCTGACCCCTGTGAAGTTAGTGTTATTGATTGAAATTTGATAACCAAATAAACTGGGGCTCAAGAGTTTAAGTAACTGGTCCGATTTCAACTTGTTGGTGGCTGAAGCATGGTATAAATCTTGGTTTTCTGAATCTAAAGCCTATATTTTTTTCTATTATACTATATTGCTTCTTTAAATAAAATCAAAAATTATAGTATAACATGGCTTTATGCTACATTTGATATTCTTTATACTTTTAAGCTGTTCGGATTATGTGCTAAGTATTCAACAGCAGTTCTTCTCAAATATCTCAAACTGTATTTGTTTTTTTTTTCCCTTAATGCTTCTTAGACACTTTAGCAGAATACAAAATCAGTCACTTGGGTTTTGCCGTAACGTCAAATTATTAGAGAAGTTTCTGAATAGTCACTCTCAATTTCTGTACCTAACATAATGTAAACTGGTAACAGTTTGTGGACTTCACCTCTCTGTGGAGCATTGTTTCACAGCTTCAGGGACTCCAAATGTGAAGAAGGCACCATATATGCTTTTCAGAAGCTTACCGGATGCTTGGTGAGTTAGACTTGTACCCAGTTTACTAAAACATAAGGGATAGTAAAACAAATGCTAGTAACATAAAGCTAGACCTCACTGATATGGTAAACATTTTATAAATCTTGAATATTAATATTTTTGCTAGGTGGGGAGTGGGAGGGAAGGGCTTATTTGCCTGAATAAGGCTTGTGTTCTGGGAAGTGGATTCAATAGTTGGAAAACATGAATAGATTTGTGTGACTTGAGCCAGGCTATATTAGTAGGGAAGCAAAAAGCAAAAGAATTTGGTGTTAAGTTCCTGTTACCATTGTTGAGCGATCTTGTATTTCACAAGGAACAGTACACCAGTTACTCTGGGGGAAAGCAGAGGGCTGTTAAGCAGAGAGAACTTGGTGGAAGAGAACACTGCCACGTTACAGCCAGCTCCATCTCTGTGTGATTGCAATTATAGAGTCCATGAGCGTATCACATTGTCCTGCTCTTCCCCTGCCAGCTCTAATAAGTGTAATAGATGAAAAAGTGTATATTTGTGGTGTATACTGTGATGTTTTGATATATGTATTCATTATAAATTGCTTAATTCAAGCTAATTCACATGTTCGTTATCGCCCATATTTATGATTTCTTTGTGGTAAGCAAGTTGATGGTCTACTCTCCTAGCGACTTTCAAGTATGCAATACATTGTCACCAACTATAGTAACTATGCTTCATGACAGAGGTCTAGAATAATTCATTCTCTGGTCTCCCCTTTCACATTCTGAAATATCCAGACACTTTGTCCTAGGATGAACTTGCCCTTTTCCCTCTGATAAGAAAAATCAGATCTTATTATGTTGTATGGTCATATTTCTTGGTCACTGTTACTTCTAGTATAATTTCATTCACCTACATTAATACATTAATTATGATGTTTAAGTCTTGAAGGTAACAGAGCTGTCTGTCTCATGCAATTGTTTTAGTAGATCAGCAGAGCTCATGAGCACCTTAATACAATCTTCTACCTCCACATGCATGCTATTCATACTTTCTCAAAGACATTAAATGTTAGTATTTTATTTTATTTTATTTTATTTTTTATTGAGACAGAGTCTATCCCAATCTCAAACTTGCTATCCCAGCAGTCTCAAACTCTTGGGCTCAAGAGATCCTCTTGCCTCAGCCTCCTGAGTAGCTGGGACTACAGGTGCCTGCCACTATATCCAGTTTTTTTTTTTCAATTTTTAGTAGAGATGGGATCTTGCTCTTGCTCAGGCTGGTGTAAAACTCCTAAGCTCAGGTGATCCACCTGCCTCAGCCTCCCAGAGATCTAGGATTATAGACACTGTTCCTGGCCATTAAATGTTTTTTTTTTTTAATTTGCAAACATTTTAATTAATTAATTTATTTTTTGGGGGGTGATTTGTTCAGCTAGTAAGCTGGAAGAAAATTTTATTTTATTTTTATTGTGGATTCATTGCGGGTACCAGGTCACACTGATTGTATTTGTTAGAGATTCATTGAGAGAACCAGGTTACACTGATTGCATTTGTTAGGTAAAGTCTATCTTATAATTATGTCCCACCTCTCATCTTTTAACTAAGTCTCACCACACACCGTGACCTCTTACTCCTCCTCCCTCCTTCCCTCTCTCTGCTCCCTCATTCCCTTAGTTTTAAAGTAACAAAAATGAACATATATACTAGCAGGATCCAAATATATAGGTACTCCCTAAAGGTATAGGTAAAGTGACACAGACAAGCATGTGCACACACACACATACACACGCACACATGCACACACATAGACACTCATCAGGAAAAAGTTTCAGTATTTAATATTTCATCTTATTTAAAATTATCTAAAGAATATCCACTAGTTGCTGTACTTAACTGTTTTAACACTAAGCCAAGAATTAAAAAAACTAAGCATCTTAGATCTATGTTTAAGTAGACATACTGCAGAACTGTCCTTGTTTTAATTCAAATTGAACATACAATTTTATATCTTTCCTAATTTTACATATATGAATGGTATCTTAAGAATTTGTCTTTCTATGTTTGTCTTATTTTACTTAGCATAATTTCTTTAAGCTTTATCTATGTTGTTGTAAATGACAGGATTTCCTTCTTTCTTAGGGCTGGAGGGTATCCCACCGTATATGTGTATACAGGCTCCCTTTCCCACCCTATTTCCTCTATCCATTTACCTATTAGTGTACACTGAGGTTGTTTCCACAACTCGGCCCTTGTGAATAATGCTGCAATGAACAAAGGAGTGCAGATATCATGTTGGAAACGGATTCCAATTCCTTCCCATATATACAGAGTGGGATTTCTGGATCGCATGCAGTTTTATTTTTAATTTCTTGAGAACCTTCACACTATGTTTCATAATGGCTATGCAGATTTACATTTTCACCCACAGTGTACAAGGGATCCCTTATTCCACAGCCTTGCCAACACTTGTTACTTTCTGTCTTTTTGATAATAGGTATTCTAACAGGTATGAGATGATATCTCATTGTCATTTAAATTGGCATTTCTGTGGTAATTAGTGATGCTGAAAAGTTTTCATGTTGTCAGTTATTCATTTGTTTGGTTTTAAGGCTAAAATGGAATTATGCTTTCATTATTTTAACTTCTCTTCTTTTGGTTTATTAATACTTAATACGGTTACTCTAATTTATATTTTCTCCTGTTGTTCTCCTTCAGGCAGTAAGCCCGCACAGCCAATGGATGGAGCCAATCACTCGGTGGTGTCAGAGTTTGTGTTCTTGGGACTCACCAACTCCTGGGAGACCCAGCTTCTCCTGTTTGTGTTCTGCTCTGTGTTTTATGTGGCCAGCATGATGGGAAACTCTCTCATCGTGTTCACTGTGATCTCTGACCCTCGCCTACACTCCCCCATGTACTTTCTGTTGGCCAACCTCTCCTTCATTGACCTGGGTGTTTCTTCTGTCTCTTCCCCCAAGATGATTTATGACCTTTTCAGAAAGCGCAAAGTCTTCTCCTTTGGAGGCTGCATTGCTCAGATGTTCTTCATTCATGTCATTGGTGGGGTGGAGATGGTGCTGCTTATAGCCATGGCCTTTGACAGATACGTGGCCATATGTAAGCCTCTCCACTACCTGGCAATCATGAACCCACGAGTGTGTATCTTCTTTTTAGTGGCTGCCTGGATGATTGGCTTCATCCACTCCATGGTTCAGTTGGCTTTTGTGGTAAACTTACCCTTCTGTGGTCCTAATGTGTTGGACAGCTTTTACTGTGACCTTCCTCGGTTTATCAAACTTGCCTGCACAGACACCAACCGACTAGAGTTCATGGTCACAGCCAACAGTGGATTCATCTCTGTGGGCTCCTTCTTTGTACTGATCATTTCCTACATTGTCATCATTCTCACTGTTCAGAAACACTCTTCAGCTGGTTCATCCAAGGCTATGTCCACACTTTCGGCTCACATCACTGTGGTAGTCTTGTTCTTTGGTCCTTTGATATTCTTTTATACATGGCCATCTCCCTCGACACACCTGGATAAGTTTCTGGCCATCTTTGATGCAGTTCTCACTCCTGTTCTGAATCCTATCATCTACACATTCAGGAATCAAGAAATGAAGGTGGCAATGAGGAAAGTATGCAGACAGCTAGTGAATTCTAGGAAGATCTCATAAGTGATTTCTTGTATTGAGAGGGTCCTCATTGACTATTTAAAGTCATTGCTGCTGGTCAAATTCAGAGAGAAGCCTCTTTTTGTCCTAACTGGATTGATTATTCACACTTAAATTGGGTCTATTTTGTCTTCACTTAGCAGAGAAAGATATTAACTTAAGAAAAGAGAGAAGGAATTGCATTAAAAATATTTTAACATCAAAGATTATAATAACTTTGGTCTGAAATTCCTAAGGAATAATATTTATGCGAAATAATTCTTATAAATACAAGAAAGCAAGTTTCTTTAAGGCCCTCAGAAGAGGAAAATCTCTAACAGGGGTCTGTTTCATATGCAGGAATTTTTGGCAGCATGCAATGTGCATTCACAAAGGGAGACTGAACTGGGTCCTGTTACTGTATCCTGAAGCTTGCCCACTTTCTACCCCCCTTTTGGTTTTTGTCAATGTTGTGCATGGAGAATAGCATCTTTGAAAAGCATTCACATACCTAAATCTAAAGGATGCATGTCTTGGGGTAGAAGCTGTGTGAGATATTTTTTGCAGACCAAGAGAGAATTGAGAATACATTATGATTTTTCTCCATGGTCAACATTACACTACTCAAACACATTCAGTTTTCATTCCCCTTTCCCCCTCTTCCTTTTTCCTCCACCACAGGATGGTCTCTGGTCTAGGAAAGTTTTTTCTCTTTTCCTCTCTTAGGTTTTCTTCCTTCTCCTTTTCCCCATTCACCCCTCCTTCTCTCCCAGTTCCCTTCACCCCATGCTCTTTCTCCTTCTAACTTCCCATCACCGCTGTGCCTCTTTTTTTTTTTTTTAATATTTTATTTTATTTGCAGTTTTTGGCCAGGGCTGGGTTTGAACCTGCCACCTCTGGCATATGGGGCTGACACCCTACTCCTTTGAGCCACAGGTGCCGCTCCTGCTGTGCCTCTTAAATTGCTCTCCTGACTTCTTATAGAATGTCTACTCTGCAGGTTTTATGTCTTGATGAGCTTGTGTGTGTTTGGCTTGGAGGCCTCATATGTGAAGCGTGAGTGCAGTGGAAAAAGGCAAACAACAAGGATAGTCATCGAGTTTCTTTTTTTTAATAAACTCTTCAACTCCCCAAATTGCAAACATTGTCAAAATTTTAACGTATATTTTTGCTTCTTTACAGGCACATATTTATTTGAAGTTATCTGCATAGATATAACTAAAACAAGTAGAGTTTACTTCCTGAACCATCTACAACTTTCTATAGCCATTGGGTTTTGCCTTTTCTATCTTCTTTCATATTCTGAAATATCCAGATGCTTTATTTAGGGTGAGTCTATCCTTTTCCCTCTGATAAGCAAAATCAGATCCTATTACCTTGCATGGTGGTGGTTCTTGGTCATATTCCTTCTAGTATAGTTTCATTTGCCTACATTAATTATGATGTTTAAACAATGTAACTAACTTTCTATTTCACTGAGAGTTCTTGAAGGTAACTCAGAATTATCTCATGCAATCATTTTAGTAGACCAGCAGTGCTCACAAGCATCTTAAATACAACGCCCTACTACCACACACATCCTATATATACCTTCTCAAAGGTAGCAAATGTTATTTATAAAGTAGGAAAAATGAACAAATTTACTAAGAGGATCCAAAGGCACAGACACTCCCTAAAGGCATAAACAAAGTGACACACATGTACACGCACACACATGCACAAACATAGACCCTGGCCAGGACAAATGTTTCAATATGTAATATTTAATTTTTAAAAAAATTATCCTCATAATATCCACTCATTATGCATTTGATACTAAACCAAGAATTAAAAAGCCCTAAGCATCTATGTTTTATGTTTAAGTGGACATATTATAGAACTGTCCTTATTTTAATTCAAATTGATCAAACAGACCATTTTATATTTTTCTCAATTTTAAATGCTTGTTTTCAACTCCAAGTTGATAAGGTTAGGGAGAAGAACACTCATCCTCTCTCAGTTCATTAAAAATGTCATTAAAGTGTTCTGAAATGTTTGAGAATTTATTCATTTACTTTTTAAATTATAAAAATTATATATTTTTTCATGTACAACATAATATTTTGAAATATATATACTGTGGAATGGCTAAACCAAGCTAGTTATTGTATTATATTACTTCATACACTTATTTTTGGTGATAAGAACACTATTCTCTCAGTGAATTTCAAGAATATGATACACTGGTATTAACTATTGTTGCCATTTTGAAATTATCCCCCTTATCTAACTGAATTTTCTACCTTTAACCAACATTTCTCCAACTTCTTCCCCTATACTTCTTGTTATAGCCCCTGGTAACCACCATTCTCCTCTGTGCTTCTGTAAATTAAACTTTTTAATAACCCACATGCAAGTGAGATAATGCAGTATTATTATTCTGTTCCTGGCTCATTTCACCTCACATAATGTCCTCCAGTTCATTCATGTTTTAGTAATAATAGAATTTCCTTCTTTTTTTTTTTTTGAGACAGAGCCTCAAGCTGTCCCCCTGGGTAGAGTGCCATGGCATCATAGCTCACAGCAACCTCCAACTCCTGGGCTCAAGCGAGTCTCCTGCCTCCGTCTCCCAAGTACCTGGGACCACAGGTGCCTGCTATAACACCTGGTTATTTTTTGGTTGCAGCCTTCATTGTTGTTTTGGTGGGCCTGGGCTGGATTCGAACCTGCCACCTTAGGTGTATATGGCTGGCACCCTAGCCACTTGAGCCACAGTCACTGAGGCAAATTTCCTTCTTTTTATGAGGTATTCCATTGCATATGTGCACCCATGCACACACACACACATACACACACAGACAGAGGGTGCCAAAAAAGGTATGCACATTTTGAGAAAAAAAACTATTAAAATTATAATACTTAATATATACCGATAACAAAACATGAGTACAAGTCACCTTGAGCACCTTGTATTGCAGAACTCAAATGAGACTTGAGTATTACAAATATAATACAGTTTCTTTCTTTCTTAAAATGTGTAGACTTTCTTTGGAACCCTCTGTACATATGACACATTTTATTTATCCATTAATCTCTCAATGGACACTTAGATTCATTTCATATCTTGGCTGTTGTGATTAATGCTGCAGTGAACGTGGGAGTGCAGATATTTTTCAAACATAGTGATTTCATTCCTTGGATATATACCCAGCAGTGGGATTGCTGGATCATATAGTAGTTCCAGTGTTAATATTTTGAGGAACCATCATACTATTTTCCATAAAGTTTGTACTAATTTACCTTCCGAAAAAAGTGTGGAGTGGGAGACTCAAAGCCCAGACCAATTAGGAGAGGAATGAGAGGACTTGAACTGAGTAATTGACACTGAAAAGGATGAGAAAAGGACAAATATATATGATATTACAAAAGAAGAATAGACAAAATTCTAGAGGGAGGGAGTAAAGTCTAGGTGTCTCTAGGATTCCCACTTGAAGAAACTGAATGGAATCACCAATCTAGATGAGAAATGCTGGAGGAAGAACTCAGTTTCTAAGGGAAAGTGACAAGTTTAACAAAAGTTTATGTGGAATGCGCTTTCAAGTTCTGTTGTCTGGGGTTCAAGAAGTCAAGACTGTTAGAATTTGGGGAGGATATTTCAGAGGCATACAATAATTAATATGAATTTTTTTAATACATAAAAAAGTAAAGACAACGGTAGGAGTGCCAATATAGCTACCCTCATGTTCAAGAGGGTCTAATCTTTTAGCAATTCAGTGGCAAATTTGTGTAAGGGAGAGGGTAAAGATTTGTCAGAAATATTAATTTCATCCTTGAACATTATTCTTCCAATCTTTTACTAATAGTCTATTGCTGCCACTACAAAGATTGCTACAGGTCATTCGGGAGCTCATGCAGAGAGTGTAGGACAGTTTCCTAATGGATTGTTGACTCCATATTCAAATAATAGTGTGTGCACATGGTCCCTGCTCCTACTTAGCTGGTACCTCAGAGAGAACAGTAAGATACTCTTTTTGAATAGTTATTTATACTATTTTTGAGTAATGTATTTATTTTTCAAAATAATTGTATACAACAACTTTATCACATGCAAAACTTAATGTATTGAATGTATCTTTATTATGTCTTTACATCTCATTTATAGTTAGTTTTGTAATTTTTAAGTTTCTGCACTTTGTATTTGCTTTTTATTTACTTATAAACTTGGTTCACATAAAATAGAAATCTTTTGTACTTTATTTATTTATTCATAAACTATTGTATCCTCTTTTTAGCTCAAAAATATTTAATCTCTTTAAAATTATTAGATGTTCACGTGTTTGATTTTGCCATATGAAAATAATGATTATTGTTTAGGAAATAATTTGGATATAAAAAATGATTGTTATACACATTCAGTAGTGTAGAAACTTACATTATCTGATTTTTTTTTTTTTGAGACAGAGACTCAAGCTATCCCCCAGGGTAGGGTGCTGTAGCATCACAGCTCACAGCAACCTCCAACTCCTGGGCTCAAGCAAGTCTCCTGCCTCAGCCTTCCAAGTAGCTGGGACCACAGGTGCCTGCCACAATGCCCGGCTACTTTTTTGGTTGCAGCCATCATTGTTGTTTTGGCGGCTGAGCTGGATTCGAACCCGCGACCTTAAGTATATGTGGCTGGCGCCTTAGCCACTTGAGCCAGAGGTGCCAAGCCACATTATCTGATCTTAAAACATTTTATTGCTTAATAATATTAATATTTCCTGAATTGTCTCTCTATGATTTTTCCCAAATTTCACTTTCTGATTCCGACTGAATTAAAAAATCTTAGTACTAATCATATCTGAGTGTGGGTGAATAAATTATGACCTCAAAGCCTCAAATAACTAAAGCTTCCTAGGCAATTATCCTCATTTTTTTTATTCCTCCAGGTACGTAGACTGTGAGAAACTCTGAGGGCAGGAATGTAGGTACATATACAAGTTAGAAGAGATATGCATTTGAAAATCATCGCTAACGAGAAGAGTGTCCAATATTTGTATTAATGGGAAATACACTAAGTATGTGAGATCTGAGCAATCACCATGAGTGAAGTCTTCACTCATAATAAGCCAGGGCACTACATTCCAAGCCTGAATTCACTTCCCCTCAATATTTTTAGGATCCTTAAAACAGGGATTTCTTGTGAAGAACTCATCAGAACAGAATAGAGTACTTGAGGAGAGATGTCATAGTGTATACTGAAAACATTCACTAAACTGAAAAGTTTTGTAAAGGTTTTAGTTAAAGACATTATTTTCCAAGGATACTCAAGATGAATCGGAATTTCTTGGACTGTGCATAAAAAAACTCTTCTTGAAACTTAAAGCCTTAATAAAAAGTCTCCTCATTGCCACCTTCATGTCCTTATTTCTAAACGTATAGATGACAGGATTCATAAAAGGAGTGATAAGGGCATCAAAGATAGCTAAAAACTTATCTATGGGTAAGGTAGGAAATGGCCACACATAGACAATAATGCAAGGACCAAAGAAGAAGACCACAACCGTGATGTGAGCTGAGAGGGTGGAGAGGGCCTTGGATGAACCACTTGAAGAGCGTTTACGAATTGTGACCAAGATGAAGATGTAAGAGACGATCAAGATGAAGAAGGTGCCCATGGAAATGAAGCCGCTATTGGCAGTGACCAGAAACTCCAGTTTATATGTGTCTATACATGCAAGTTTGATGAACCGAGGAAAATCACAATAAAAGCTGTCCATTTTGTTGGGACCACAAAAGGGTAAGTTTACTACAAAAGCCAGTTGGGCCACAGAGTGGATGAGTCCGATTGTCCAAGCAACAGTCATGAGAGAAATGCACATTCTTAAGCTCATGATGGTTAGATAGTGGAGGGGCTTACAGATAGCCATGTATCGGTCATAGGCCATGACTATGAGCAGTACCATCTCTGTGCCCCCAACAGTGTGAATAAAGAACATCTGAGTAATGCACCCTTTCAGGGAAATAACTTTATGTTTTCTGAAAATGTCGTAAATCATCTTCGGGGTTGCAATACTGGAAACACCGGTATCAATGAAGGAGAGATTTGCCAGCAGGAAGTACATTGGGGAATGTAAATGATGGTCTGAAATAATTGTGAGAACTATGAGAAGGTTTCCAAGCATACTTGCTACATAAAACATGGTGAAAAACAGAAAAAGGAGAATCTGAATCGTCCAAGAACAGGTGAATCCCAGTAAGAAAAATTCAGACACCGCTGAGTGATTTCCTCCATCCATCAATTTCCTATGCAAGGATGCCCCAGGAGTTACCTGAAGCACAAAACAGGACGAAAATAATTTTGAAGTTGAAAGAGACATTCTGGCTATAGAGTAATGACACAAATATGAGAAACTAAAGATCATCTTGCCATTTTACACAGTTTCACGAGTATTAAGTTCACACAGAGCCATCCCTAGAACTTTTTCATACCCAGATTGTTAGTATTATTTAATCATGTAGCCTCAAATTTAGTTTGGGCTTTAGTGTATAATCAAGAAGGGAAAATGCATACAAAAGCACCTAAAAATTTAAGGAG